TAAAGAAAATGTTGGCATTCAAAAACTAAGAAGAAGAAACACTAATCTGCTCTTTTGTTCAACTTAATAACAAGGTAATAGGGGTGGAAGCAACCCTCATAAGGACATTTGGTTTCTAAAAGTGTATTGCTTTTAATCCAGTAGTTTTATGTAAATATGGATTCCTATAACTTTCAGGAGGTACTGAATTAAATTTACTAAGGGAAAATAAGACTACATGTCAAGGAGACAGGTAAAATACAATATAAGAGTAAACACACATAGTACAATACTATACAGAGTTCAAGGTAAAACTTATGTTTTTAATCAAGAGACTAGCTTATCAATTTGATCCAGAACACTACTTGCAATTTAACATGAGATTTAAGCAGCAAATAGCTTGAAATGTTTCTTGATAGTCTGCCCTGAAGGAATTCCTGATGTATCTAAAAAATAAATAGTGATGATTGAAACGGAATCCCATTATGTAACATTTCCAAGAATAGTAGTATCATAAATGCTCAGATACATATATTAACTTTTCTGAAACAGGCATACTTTTTAATGGCATGGTTGGCATGATACCTTGCTTTTCTGGTTAATTAGTGAATAGACCCACCTGGTTTCTTAACCCTACAGTGTTCCAGTAGATAAACTGAAATGTCTTATATAGCCTTCAAATGTTCTACAAGGTTTGCCAAAATCTAAAATATTTAGCATTAGTGTAATTATTCAAGTGTACTGTTATCTAATGTATAAAACAGCTTGCTTTTCAGGGCAAAACCTGTTGGAACAGCATGAAACCAGTTTCTTGTAGTTGCAGTAGTATTAAGTGCAGTTTGTTCATTAAAAATGACAAGGACAGAATGGTCTGGATTCTGATCTCACTCACATGCTACGTATTTCAGTTACTCCTGATTTACATCTGAATGACACTCAGACCAGGTCCTTGGTGTCTGACTTTCCATTGTGACAGAAATACTGATTATTGTAGTAATGTGTTCAACAGTGAGCCAACATTGGGGGAAGAAAAGAGTGCTATTACTTTTTGACACGTCTGAATTTATGTGAAGCCATTTTTAATTCGTGGCTAAGGATAATTGATATTGCATGGGAACCAATGGTAATGGGACTGGAGGTCACCACAACTCTGTGTATTAAATGAAACAAGCTCCTGTGTTTATAAAGGGAGAAAAATATACCCCATATGCCTCATTTCCACGCTCTTTGTGAGAATAGCTAACAGGATGATTATCTCAGGTCATGAACAAATGATCAAATTAAAATAAGTCAGTAGGGAGTGAAGACTTGCAGTCAATAGGTACAGACATTGAAAAAGCCCAAGGTGGAACTGATCTAAGTTACGTGGTTTTCGGTAAGCAGCTTGGTTTAGATTGGTAGCAAACAGAACACACAGTCACCGTTTGGTGTGCGGAGGGGCAAATCTTAGACCAGGTTTTGCCATTTTTAAACCAGTCTGCATGCCGAACTTCTGTTCTGTTAGGGTGTAGACTGGTTTCTGATCACGTATACTGGTAAAAGTGTAATGTCTATACCAGGCCAATATTTGGTAACTGTTCACATGCGTACAGATATCCTGGGCAAAATGAAAGCTGAACTGTAGCAGCTTGTAGGATGAGCATATTATAGCAGAGCATATTCTAGCAACATGGTCATTTGAAACATGATCATTTGAGATTTCTAAATTGTGAAAAGCAATATCTGCAGAGTTGAAGGTATGCTGAATGGTTGGAACAAAGTGTGTTGCTTGCTACAGAGATTTTCATTCAGTTTGTCTCCATTTGCAGCTGAAGTAAGATAATTGAAAAGTCTGTGCCAGAGAACACCTCTTTTCACACTACTCAGAGTTTGGGAGGAATGTTCACAGAGCAGACACTCCTTCCTAGAGTCCCTCCTGCATTTGCAGGATGTATTATGAGTTTGGAGTAAATCAATATGCAATTCCCTTAACCGTTCTTTTTTCTGCACCCCCAAATTTTACCAGTCCAAAATGCTAACTGCTGGAGGGTTTAGGCTTATGTTGTGTTACAAATGAAAACTAAATGTTTCCTTATGTGCATGTAAAAAATTAAATTATATGAAAAAACTTAGTTTTGTAAATCTAGTAAGGACATTTACAGAATTCTTTATGGAAAACATTAAATATTTTCTTGTCTTCTTTGCCAGCTTTTATGTGGGCTAATTTGAAGTGTGTTTGGGGGAAAGGGGCATCTTAATTGATTTTAAATGCTTAGTGGATGCCTGATATCATGAATTCATAGAAAGGAAAAAATAGGCAGACTAGTGTCTTGTTCCCTCTTCTTGTATACCACCCTCACCAGCTCATACTAAGAAATCCTAAAGATTGGTGATCCTCAAGTCTCCAGCCAGGTCTACATAGCAAATTCACTAAGTGAGAAAGCAACGCCCTCAAGCTGTGTTGCTCCAGACAGCCTGCTTCCTAAACTGGAAGCAGTTTAGTTGTGTTCCTACAGCATGTTGGTAGACTAATTAGCACAACTGAATTACAGGGTCAATTAGCTTATCCCTAAGCTGATTGGCCTGCCAGTGGTGCCTCATGGCTGTGGTTACCTTACTTCTGGGTTACAGGGCAGCCCACCTGGAGTAGTGCCACCTGTCTGGCGTAATGTTTAGCTGTCCAGAGCAAATAAGGCATCTAATTTAGATGTCTATTAGAAAAGAGGCCTGAAACCAAGTCAGATATACATTTTAAAATCAACTGGAATCGGATCATTTTGCTAACAGTCATTACTAGGAATAGACTAGCCAAAATTGCTAATATCTGTAACACAGCACAAGATTCTAGCCTTTGTAGAATTCTATTTTCCATTCATGCCCCCAGTTTTGTGATTTTTGTTTTGCCTATATAGCAGTTCAGTTGGAGACAGTAGAGATTTACCAATACTTTTGAATACTGAGCTAATTGCTGAAAGTAGTTGATATTATCTGTAAACAAGTAATTCTTTCATTGGTTGGAAGTTTTAGGGCACCGTTAATAAAAGTATACACGTATAAATCAACTTGTAAATTATATATTACATGTTTATTATGGGTGCAACATTTCTGTAAAATTTACATTTGATGAAAATCAAAAGTATTTACAATTTTGGTAAGATAAATTGTATTATTCTAATTTACAATCTGAAGTTGTAACAATCCATAAAAACTGATCTCCTTTAGAGTTGTGTTTACAAATTCATTTTTTTCAATAGGAGGCAGCTACAAAGGATATCACTGTATACACAAGCAAGAACCAGCTTGCTACATATATTTCTCATCAGATATCTAAATGATTTTTTTAACACTTTTTATGGGTTTCTTTACAAAAGTCCATATAAACTTGTATGGCTTCAAAATTGTAACCTGCACCCATTACAAATGTATGTTCGATCACCTGGTATGAAAGCTAGTTTAAATGTGCTGAAATTCAACTACTTCATTAATTTAGAAATTTAAGCAATACTTGATTAAAAACAAAGTAAAATAGTTTTGGATTGCAATAATAAAATATTAACTGTCAGGTTAAACACACTGTTTGATTGCAAAGCAGATTACAATTAAGATTCCAGTAAAAGGCCGTGTATCATTTTAAATGCCAATTACAACATGAGTTAGAAATACTAGTTATTGTCATAATTCAGTGAAGATTAACATTTTAGCAAATTAAGAGCCATAAAGCACTGCTCCAGTCAAATCTAATCAGATTGTTACAAGTACATATAAAAAACACATACTGTACTGTACACTGCTTAATAAAGGAAATCTTGTCTCTAAAACTATGTAGTGCGCATTAGAATTTATATGCGTCTGAGTCATTCATTCGCTGAAAAGCTTAATAGTCCAGTCATTAGTGGTTTTACATGAATTATTTCACACACAACTTACTATTGCTTCCAATTTATATTATGAATAGACCCTGGTATTTAGAATAATTATAAAATTCCCATCCTGCTTATTATTAAAGTATTCTGCCCCAAAATATTTTATTTCTGTATTTAACAAAGACATGTCTAACAAACAGCATAATATAGAACAGCTTTTTAATTAATAACTTGCTTTAAGAAATGTCACCAATGTGTTGCTTCAGATCATTTCCATACGTTTAGGATGTAGCAAAACAATTAAGGAAAAGGAAATACTACCAACTGGTATTTTAAAATGAGTTTTAAAATTAGTAATATGCTGGTTGTACACTGTCTTCCTGCTGCCAAAAAATATACCTTTCTAAAATGCTATTCCTCATAAAGTACTACATTACATTCATGTCACACAAATCAAAAAGCACTTGAAATCTCCAAAGACTTAGCAGTCAGAATGAAGTGAAATGCTACATTAAAAAATATTCTGTTTTTATCATTCTTCAACGTACCTTCCGAATTCGCACATCTTTGGTGATATTAAAAGTTGAAACTTTGATACTGAAGTTCTCCATCAATATATCAAAGTCCTGCACTATGCATTTCCCTTTACACTGGCTGCATTTATTGCAATTACCCCATGAGGAAGTAATCCAGTATTTGAAACCATCTTATAAAGCAATCTCCAGTTTTTCTAAATTTCCCTTCTAAATCCCAGTCGAGGAATTTTATAAAGTTGTATGCATTACACAAATACCACACGTTTTCAGTAGGGAAGAGCCAGATTTTGAAAAAGGAAGTGAGGCACATTAAAGAACAAATTGGACAGGCACAGTTTAAAAAAAGGCACAAATGTTATGCAATCCATACAAAAATAAATTAATCTACAGCATTAATTCAAACAATCACAACTCCCATAAAGTTTGCTAATTGCAGAAGTAAATATCTCTTCTGTCTTTTGCAATTTTTAACACATTGCACTTAGAAAAAAGTAAATCTTATATAAAACAACTTATACTTTATTAAAATATGGTACATGGGAATCAAAGAATACGTTTTATTTACGTCTCTAACTCTTAACTGATTTTATGGCACATGAATATGGTATGAGTGGGCGGACAGAATTATCTGAAATGTTGTTACCTTTGTTTAATTTGAACCTTGGCAATTAATAAAACTGATATTACCTATGAATAATATTATGGAAAGCTAAAATATTCTGTGCTTGCTCTCCTACACTTTTAGGTGTAATGTTTATAACAACATACAATTTCATACATTTTCAATACATCTAATGATTACTATTTTGACTTAGTCTATATAAATTTACTTAAATTTGAATAAACAAGTTTCCCAAATATTGCAGTTGATCATTTACAGACAGTGTTGAAGTTCACTTCAGTGCTATTATAAATATTTTTCTCCAAAATGACTTCTTCAAAAAAAGTGCATTTTTTTTACTTTTGTAGTCAGCCCCAAAGTAGGTCAATGTTTAAAAAAAAATGCATGTTAAAATAGTGTTTCAAAGGTAGAGAGAGGAGTGAGCTTCAGCTGCTCTTTTCATTTACTGATTTTTCACAGATTCATCAGCAATCAGCCATATATCGTCCTGAAAATAAAAACAAATTCCTGCAGTTACAATGTTCAGGGTAACTCTATTTTACAGTAAAACAAGAACTCAAAATAGCAGATAAAAGAAAGTTTGTCAATGTTTTTCTGCAAACAGGATTTTTGTTCAGCTGTTCTGTACAAATAACCATTTTTATCGTACATCCCAGAAATATTGCAAGCTTTTTTCCAGATTAGTAGACACTATATAAAAATAAGCAAGAGTAATTTTGTAAATTCACGTTAGTTCAAATACATAAACATCTCAGTTTCTTACTTACCAGTGGCAAATCTCTTCTTAAGTAGGGAAAGCCGATAGCCAGTGCCTGCTAGCTCTACGTCTACTCCTGAAAGGGTGTTTCCTTCACTAATGAATTGCACTGCAAGAGTTGCTGGTTTACTGGGTCCTTCTGATAGATCAAATTTTGCCCTGAGGGATCCAGAACCTAAAAATACAACCAAATGTCTTGCTATTGTAAAACAGAACAACCTGTCCCATAAAGCCCAAACAGTAAACAGTGAAGTAATATAGTGCTCTCTAATAGCTGAGACTGTGATATATGCATTTTCATAACAGATAACATCACTGGCCTGTTCCTGCAGTGTTCTGCTTAGGAGAGTGACCATTGCTTAATAATGCTTTAGGGAAAGCATCATGCACTCAATGTTACAAGGCTGTATACAGAGGAATACTTTCTTCCTGACATTCACACAATCTGTAGTTTTATTCCATGAAACGTGATATTTGATTTCCACTACAATCAATGTTTCAGCTTCTAACACTGACCCAGCCTAGTTCTTATCACCACTAGTATTATTTATCAATAGATCTCAAAGCACTTTACAAAGAAGAGAGAATCTAAATCTAATTACAGTATCTATTGTTATGACCTGGATGAGTCTACACTAGTAAAATTTGTGAGCCTTTCTGTTCCAGGACAGCTGTCAAAGAAGGCTGTAACAAAAGGGAAGTTGTACCACTGTAGAAAATGCCTATATATTTTGTTCATCTAGACAAGACATGTGGACATTAATTCTTTACATCTTTAATCATGGTATAATGAATGTATTCCATTTATTGATTCTAAATAAGTGTTCTCCTGTTCCCACATTATAAGAGGGGAGGGAATTTTGGGAGTAAGAGGTGAAATTATTTCCATTATTCTTCTTATGATTCAATAACATTTCATTTTTGCAAGGTAATTAATCCAAGCATATGTATTTTTGGGAACTCAACACCTCAAAATGTTGTTGGGCTTGATGCAGGAGTTACTAGGTGAAATACTTTGTTCTGCAACAGATTATTCTAAATAATCTCAATTAATTTAAAATCATTTCCCATTTCTGTTGCAGACTGGGCAAATCACAACTTCCTTGCACCTTAGTTTCCCCATGCAAAGTGGGGATAATGATACTTGCCTTTAAGAACTGCTTTGAAGTCTACTGATGGAAAAAAAACTATACTGTTTTTCATTGTATATTTGTTTCTTGGCTGATGCAAACTTCCACACAGCCACAGCCCTGCAGATGACTGTCAACATGGTGTTGGATCATAAACAGGTGCAACAAATTCTCCCACTAGACTGAGAGCAAAGGACAAGTCTTCAAATACCTGAAGGGTGATTAGAGAGGATGGAGATGGGCTGTTTTCTCTGTGGTTGTATGGGATAGGACTAGGATCAATGGCCTCAAGCTGCAGCAGAAGAAATTTAAGGTGGAGATTAGGAGGAACTTTCTGACTATGAGGATGGTCAAGCACTGGAACAGGCTGTTTAGAGAAACAGTGGAATCTCCATCCTTGGAAACTTTCAAGATCAGGTTGGACAGATGCTAGTCAGGGACAATCATGCTTTGGTGGGGACTCAACTAAGTGACCTTGTGAGGTCCTTTTAGCCCTACTTTCCTATGATCCAGAGAATTTTATGCCAGCATTAGTACACACAGTGGGCTTCAGTCAAGTTAGAGGCAGCCCTCAACTTACGACTTTTTGAGTTGCGACTACTGTGACTTACGACGCTTATAAATTGACATCCCATTTTGATGTTCCAATGTGGGCTTTGTCTTTATGACCGTTGATACAGCATGCAGCTGGTAAGTGGTGGAAGAGGAGGGGGAATGGAAGGGGCATAGTT